TGCATGATTAAAACAGGCCAGGCATATGGAGCTTGTGCCTCAGGATAGTGGTACACGACAACATTGCAGAATGGTGTGGGAGTGAGGGTAGAGGAAGGCAACTATTCCCATACATTTCTTTGTGCAAGTCCATATCTGAGAATTACATGCCATGGAATGGAGAACCACAGTAACAGAATTATAAAACACTCCTTTATCCAATATGTGCCTACACTTTCAGTTCTGTATGTGAAGAAGAATCTGCTGAATATGCTTATTTTAATAACCATTTGTTTGAGTCATTGTCTCTTCTTTTGAACGTAAAGATGTATAAGAGGAGATAAGAATTTCTTGCTAGAGTGTAGGTATGAGAAGAATGTAAGTGTCCTCAGTTTTTAATAACCATTTGTTTGAGTCATTGTCTCTTCTTTTGAACATAAAGATGTATAAGAGGAGATAATTTCTTGCTAGAGTGGAGGTATGAGAAGAATGCAAGTGTCCTGAGTCGTATCTGTGGATCACCATATTTTAATGTCATAATATTTTTTGTAATGTTTGTGTGGATTACCTGGCTGTCCTCTAGCAGTTAGTTGGTTTGTGATGCTAAAGCTTCTTATAGGTTACAAAGCTTTGTATGTTTAGGCAGTTGCACTGATGAACTCATACAAGCAAATTTAGATTTCTTACCTAAGCCATTTGCTTAAATGGTGATCAGCAGCATGGCTAGTGTATATGAACATTCATTGTGCTAGTGGGCCCTTTGTCTGCCCCATCATTTCATACTCACTGTGCCGCTTATGTGATATGAAAGAGGCCAATTTGTGTATAATTAGATTTGCTGTGGCTGTTTTTACTTCTTTCAGTGTAGATATAGGCTAATGTGGTTTGATACTTAGTTATTTCTTAGTTGCAGGTCATACACATTTAAGTGTATGTATATATATGTATAAAATTGCAAATTACATTATGCAAATTACATTTTTTTCTCTCTTAAATACTACTGTTTTAGTGGAAATAAAAACATCACAAATACAGCCTATGGTGATCAAAGTTCCTGATAAAATAACTGACTTGCTGAAGCCTGTGCCTGATGTTGTGCAAGCTATATAGTGTATTTTGCTAATGCTTGGTAACATATTATTTTCCTTAAACAATTACAAGGAACCACTGTAAACAAAAGAAGACTAAGTGTTTCAAGCTCTTAATTCTCTGTTAATTTAAAAAAGGAGAAAAAAAAAAAGAAAAGGAAGAAAGGTTTGAGTGCAGTCTGATGTGAAAGGTCATGGGGTACCCATGTATAATCTTGAATGCCTCAAATGGAGACTGAGTTCTGGGCAGTACTAACATTTCCTTGAAATAGGCATCAGAGCAATGTGCAGTGTTTTTTACTATTTATAAATAATTAGGAAAACTTTCTGGCATGCTTTATTGCTGACAATGGAAATGAATTTTGCAAACATGTCAACCTCGTCCATAAACTTTCCTCATTTTATTTAGCTTATACTGGTAGAAATCAAATGTAAAGCCGAATGTTATGCTTCTCTCTATCATTTTTTTTTAAAGAATCTGCACTGTGGTTTGCTTACTTTGTGGCTTGATTCATTTGGTACAACATCCGCATTTTTTTTTTCCTGAATTCTACTTTAATTCTCTCAGTGCTTGTGTATTTGTCAATTTACAACAGTATTTTATATGTATAACTTTGTACTATAAGGCTTATAATTTAGTATATTTTCATATATTATATTTCAATTAATCTGTAGTAGATGATATGGATGTACTTTACTTTTTTGTGTGTGTGATGGTTTAGATAACTCATTTTTTTCATTTGCTTTCCTTAGAATTGATAAGGAGATGGAAGACAGAAGACAAAAAGCCATTGAGGAGGTAATACTTTTTTATACAATCAAATGTTGACCTGCATTAGGCACTTACATTAAACATGGATTTTTTTTTTGTTGTTATTACAGAATTTCAAAATTCAGGACTATTTTTAGTGGTATTGTATTTTACTGGCAAGCAAAAAAAGAATTTGACATCCTCATCCATTGCAGTTATAGTTGGGATCCATGCTCTCCCTTGCTCTCTATGTCTTTTCATATGCCTCTTGGTGTTATGTGGTTTACATTCTCTTTTTTGTCACACCCTTGAAAATAAATCAATCTTTCTGATTTTTGTTTGTTTGTTCCAACATCTGTTTAGATGCAGACAAGAATTTTGTCATGGAGGATACCACCTCACATTCTTGTTAATTTGAACTTTTATCTATTACCAACCACTTGTTTAGGAGAGACTGAAAAGCATTTGAAGATAGAGGCATTTGATGGTTTCAAATATTCACTCTAGAAATCCTTCATATTACTTCAATTTCAACTTAAACAATAGGGCTTTGAAAAGCAAGTTTTCCTCAGTGTTTTATTAACCAGTTCATATTATAACATGCTGGTATATGTTTTTGTGCATATAAACAAAGTTTTTATATTTATATAAAGATGCTGTGTAGATGGCTTGCAGCTAAGATATTTTGTTGTTTTAAAGCTGCTTTTAAAAATGGTATTTCTTTATGAAGCATAAATTAATAAAATTTGTAGCTGAACATCCTGAAACCGCGTCTCTGATGGATAAGTTATGCCTTTATTAGCTGGATATTTTAAGCTTTTAGTGCGAAAACAGGATTTGCCATGAGTTTTTTAAAGCTGGGTAATAATGTTCATCTCAACTTCTGGTTGCTCCTTCCGGATGTGTTAGCTGAAGTGGTTTTGATTCCAAAAAAAAAAAAAAAAAGGGGAAAAAAAATCGAGTGTAGGTGCCAGGACTCATAACTATTTCACTGCTACACTGCTAAAAGCTCTAGCCAGATCTACCAATAATATCACCAAATATTGCCTTGGTAGTCCATGTTTTTTTGTTGCTGCAGTGACTCTCTTAACACTTCTTCAAAACAGCTCAATTGTCAAACACAACAATTTGGCAAACTGAAGGTTTGAAAAGAATTATGCTAAATTAGTGTGCAATAATTATATCGACAGAACTTTAAGGACAAAGCTCAATTTTATGGTCAAGTAATTATGGACAAGCTAATTGAAACTGCTCTATAACTCTCACTCTGCAAGCTTTTAAGTTCTTAGGTGTGGTATATGACCCACCACATGGAGATACTTTGCAAAGCAAGTTATTCCTCCTTAATAACTTGAAATACTTAAGTGTGTTTTTGGTGTAAGTGATAGCTTTCCTTTTTATACACACACACACACACACACACACACACACACGCGTGTGTGTGTATATATGTATATTTGAGATAGAAGAGTTCTTAAATCTCTAAATAACAAAAGGTATGACTGAAGTTTGTCTTGTTTAGGATAACAATCTAAATTTGAGTCCCTTTTTTCTTTTTGCTTAATTTTATTTAATGCTAATACTGATTCTTTCTATTCTACTCCAGTTTTTTACTAAAAGACTCATAGTTCCTTCTCCTTGGACTGAACATGAAGGGAAACAAGTTTCTCAGTTTAATTCAACTAAATGTAAGTGTTTTTTTTTTTTTTAACCTTGCATTCTCTAGTGTTTTAAAAATAATGAAGCAGAATTTTTCAATCTCAATCTAAATTTTGAGAAGAGTGATAAAAGATGACACAGCTGATGGGTTTCTAGCTATTCTCTAAGTGCTTGTTTGATAGAAAATTCTTAAATAAGTACTCAGATTTCTGGAGTACTGGAAAGAGACTTAAAACTTAACACTTTTTATCAACAGGATAAAATTTGTGGATAAATCAAAGATAAGTTTCAATGTGAATGATCATATAAAGTAATTAGAAAACTTTTTGACAGCGTTTCATTTAAAATTTTGCTTTTCTAAATGTTCAAATTTAATAAGTTCTTCTAAAGGAAAAAAAACAGAACACGATGCTAGAGCTGGATTTTTTTTTTTGTAGCCCTGTACTAAAATGGGCTAGTTCTTTAACTATATAAAAAGGAGATGGAGTGGTAGTTTCTTCATCTTTAAGTCAAGACTGCATGATTTTCTGGAAATGCATTTTAGCTAGAGACAAACTGGGTGCATTTTAGATCTCTTTTTATAGAGAGGTCAAAGCAGACCGTGTAGAATTGGGAAGAACCGGTGCTACTTCACTAAACCTTTTTCAATAAAAAGATGCTGCAACTCTTAATCACCTATAACTGTAACCTTTCTGTATTACTCTATTCTGATTTACCACTGTTACATTTCAAAACTCTATATGCAGTGCATGCTTCAATTCAAGTTTATCTGTTTTACAGGCATAGATCTAAATAACATTTCTCCAATTGGAAGGCAGCTACCTTTGCAACCTGGAAAAAGCAATGGTTGGTTAAAAGCAATCTCTGAAACTTGAGGTTTTCTTTGAAGGCAAATATCTCTGTGTGCTTTGTGGTATTTTGTTCCAAGAAGATATTTAATTTTCTGTAGAAATGTTTTCTCCTAGTATTCCTTGTGGTAATATTAGTCTACTATTTTTCCCATCTTCTTTAGAAGTAAAGAGCAAAGGTCTCTGTAGACAGCAGACTGCTTCCCCCCACTTCCAACTCAACATATGCATTTTTCAGAAATGAAAAATAATGAATATGAGCATTATTTAGGTTTATGGGCAAATTACCATTTAGAGAAGGAGGAGAAAAAAAAACCCAAACAAACAAAACCTGTTTAGAGAATCTTTTTCTCCCCCAAATAAATAGCTGAAATCTTAAGACATCATGCTTGTTTTACTTAAATATATTTTTTCTCTAAGATATTCTGATCTTTCTCCCAGTTCATTTTGAAACACTTGTATCCTCAGAAGCCTCACTCTTCAGTTAAGAATCTCTTTAGGGGATGGTCTGTTGCAACCCTTTTTATCTGTAAAACTGAGCGGCTTGCATCAAGTGTTGCCAGATCAGAATCCCAACCCTAATTTAATCTCTTCTTTATTGCAACTGTAACTTTTAAGTAACTCAATTGCAGTGCATTTTAAAGGTGAATTTTTGGTTCTGTGGCTTTACTAAAATGTCAATATAAGCTAATTGTGTTGCTTTTATTCTTTGCAGCTGCTTGTCAGACAGTATTGTCTTTGCCTGTGGATTTTAATCTAGAGAAAATACTAGGTATGTCTTATGCTGTCTAAATTTCATTATTATAAATAGAAAGATTGTTTTATTGTTGCCTTTTGTTAGAAGTGAAAGTTCTAGTAAAATATTGGAAACCTTATATGTGAATCATAGTTCGTGTGTGTGTGTGTTCTAAATGGAGAGTTACTGCTTTTGGCATTGCATAATTGGCTTAAAATTGATATCAATAAATTGAGACAACATAAAGGCAAAAAAATGTGGAGTGCAAGAGAAATTAAGTACTACGAATGCAAAAAAAAAGTTAATAAGCAAAAGGGGAGTTTTTTTTTCTTAATAAATTAACTGCAAACTTAGAGCTGTTGTGCTTGCAGATTGTTGCTGGCGGAGTTCATAGCTTAGCCTTACCTTGAGCAGAGCTGTCCTTTATTTCCATGCCTTTAAGTTAAGCTTTGGTGGTTGCTGTAGGCTGGGTGGTGGTGGTGGTTGCAGGGGGGAAAGGCCCTGGCAGAGTGGGGGAAGGAAGGGGGAAAGGCAAATTCCAAAATTAACTGTCTGATTGCAACTGCTACATGCAGGAATTGCTATCACCTTCTCAGACAAGAGCCCTGGAAAAACCTCATATGGTCCAAATATGTGAATAATATCATGGGCAGCTGAAGAATTTTCTGATTGCTGGCTTCTATTTCAGGGTTTAAATTTTCAACCCTGACAGTGCTGGTTAAACTGGGAGCTTGGGCTTGACTCAGTGAACCAAATTAAAACAAACAGGAAACTGGAACCATGTTTACTGATTTGGTTTTTGGCCTAAATGAATGTTGTCATCAATGAGTAGTTTATAAATTCATGGATTAATAACTTTGTTCATGTAGTAGAAATCTATTAGAATAGAGAAAATAATTTGTCACCTTAACCACAAAGTATGTGGAAGACCTGAAAGAGTCTTGTCTTGCTTAATAACATAAATCCTTTTTAACACTCAAAGTAAGGATACAATTTTGGAAAAATGCTAGTAAGTATGTACTAATCAATATGAAATTCTCAAAGAAAGCAATGAACTTCAATATTAGAGCATGACAGGCAGAAGTAGGACCTTGTTGGATTTAGGATAGAAGTAATATATGGAGTGGGTGCCTAGCTTAGAGTTGCTTGTTGCATTTTGTAAATTGGATAAAATATTTTCACTTATTTGTGAGTGCCTGCTTAGTGGAAGGTTCATTGTTTTCTATTATTCTGAATTCCCATCTATAAATTTCACCCAGTGTCTTTTATCCACTGATCCATGGATACAGTGTTGACTTAGAACTGTTGTAAATAATTCTAATAATTTCAGATATACAGGAATCAAAACTTCTGACCCCATTCCAGAGCCTTTATAATGAAGAGAAAGGAAAGAAGTATAATGACCTTGAAGCTAAGAAGAGATTGATTATATGTCCCTGGAAAGTGATAACTAGACCTTGCAAAGAGATCAATTGTGCTTTTAAAATAACCATTTTAAATATCGTTTTCTAGGGAGACTGTCTCTGTTTACCCAAAACCTTTCTGAAGCAATTTTATTATATTCCATTTACAAACAACAGAGAAATACATCTCACTGCAGACGGGGAGTCTAGGAACTTTTTCAGATATTCACAGCTATTCTATAGATTTTCAAAGGTGCCAGAAGTGTTCCCATTCCAGAAATTACAGTAGCAACACACCCCCAGCAATGGAAAAGACATCTGTGTTCTCTGTAAACAGGGTAGCCAAGGAGAATTCATAGGGTAACTTAAATTAAAGGGACCTCTTGTCCAGCCCCTGGCTCAAAGCACATCCTGCTTTGAAGTTTCATTTGGTAATAAATATTTTCAGCAGGTTTAGTTGGGATTAATGCTGACCCTGGAGCAGTGCTTCTAGTGAAAAGCAGACTTCTCAGCCAGGGATGTACATAGAGCTATGTGTACTAATGGTTTCCATAAGCAGACACAACATATTATTCAGGTCAGGTCTGTAGCTGGAAAATTAATGCCAGAAGTCTGTTTAGTTTCTACATTGACATTGTCATGTTTTTTTTATTATTATTATTATTTTTATTTATGTTATTTGGGGAAGGGATGAGGGATGATGGGCACTGCACAGCTGGATATGTGGTTTCCTCAAGTACATATGAGGGGAGAGTCATTGTCTATGTACGTAGGCTGAGCTATCTAAAATAGACCTTTTGCAAGAAGATCAAAATGTGCTGTAAAATGGCACTAGGAAAGCAGTAACTCATACACTATCTGGAAGGTAGAATTCATTACAATTTTATCTTCTGTTTGCTCTATGAATGATACAACTATAGAGGCAGCCATTGGCCAAAGGTGCTTTGTAGCACAAAATGTCTCAGCTTTATAAAGCAGGATAGTTGCTTTATAAATAGCAGTTTTTAACATAATCCATGTCAAAGTGACAACCTGTCTTTCTAGGAAATACTTCCAAACAAGAAAAGTATTTATTTTTTAAGTAGTAACATGTGAAATATTTCTTTCAGCTTGGCTAGTGGTGCTAGTAAGCTACACTGTAGCTGAATAACAGGAATATGTTAAAACGGCATCAAAAAAAGTTGCTTGTTCTTACTGAAATTTTCATTTGGTTTATTTTTGTTTGCAAAATTACACTGTTCAGGGAGGATTTTCCCTTTCTACCCTCTTTAGAGAGGAAAAAACTGCTACTCTGTAGCTACTCTTTAGCTATTCTTTATTGCTAATTTAAATCAGGAATGCTTAAATTTTGATTACAGGTCAGCATCACATAATAAAAGTGATCTTAGATTTTTTTACCATCCCTATTTATCTGGTATCTTTTTGCCAATGTCATTTTTTTGGGGGGGAAAAAAGGCTGTGTTAGATCATTCCTATTCAATCCATGTCAAAATGTAGTGAGGAATGGAGAGGATGTTGGCATGTACTCGAACCATAAAAATACTTTTCCACTTTCAGAACTGCAGTTTGACAGCAAACTACAAACTACTAGGAAGTTTGTTACAGCCCTGTTAAGTGCTGCCATACTTGAACTGCTTGATATTTGTTATAATGTCTGTGGTTAGGAGAAATGTTCAGATATTTTTTTTTTCTGGGGAAATGTATTAGTTTTTTGTTTTATAATATTTTCTGTCCTTTCCAATATTGAAAGTAGCAAAAGCTACTGTTTTTTTAATTTTAAATGGTTAACTATATGCAAGAATTATTTCTTCTTGACGCTTCCTTTGGCCTCAGATTCAGCACTCACTCACTGTAGAAGAGAGCAGGGCTCTCACTTTCTCATCTCACTTGGAAACAACCTTTTTCCTCTCCCAACACTTTTAGGTGAATATTTTAGAACTGACGAATTTGCAGATCAGTCTCAGGAAAATCTGAGCAGCTCTTCACTCAGAAGAAAGCTGTTTTTAGAGGAGAATGGAAATGTATCTGAGTGCTTGTCCCCTTCTCTGCAAAGCCCGTGCGGTATCCAGCCCCTTGGGGTGCTCTGTTCAATAGATATATCTCCAGTCCGGTGCAGAAGCCCTCTGGAAACGTCCGGTTCAGTAAGTAGCCTTTTTGGGGGATGGAGGGCAGGACAGGCTTGGTTGACTTAGCAGGCACAAGAGCAGCACTGATGTCAGGCTTGTTGTACCAATTCTGTGTTCCAGTAGGCCTCATGGAATGGCTTGCCATGGCCTTAGTAAGTTACAACTGCTTGATGTGAGAATAGGCAGTATATTCAAGTTTCCTCAAATTCCAATTTGAGAACAGTTATGCGAATGGAAAATGTCTTGAATGGAAAAAAGCACTGTACATGCATATGTCATTGGTTCTCTATTTGTCACACACCAGATTATTATGTTGTGCTGCTGCTACGTGTGCTGTGCTGAAAATGGGAAGTGATTCACAATGCACCTTAAATCATCTGGAATCCATTTTTTTTTACAATTTTCTATATACATTTAGAGTTGCTGAGAATGTGTAGAAGATTGTTTCTTCATAAAATGTGTATATCAAAACACCCATTTAAATCCATGAGTTACTATGTACAATAACAGCTGACAGGAAACAACCAATATAATTGTTTCCCCCTATAGTTTGTAGACTCTCTTGTGATGGAAGAAGTGGCTCTGGATAACAGAGCATGCCTCTCTGAAGGGCATGGAAATACAGGACAAGTATCTCCGTGTCTTTCTAGTCCTTATGTGGGAGTGCTGAATTCCGATGTTTTGTAGATGTGAAATTGCTGGCGATGGTTGGAATTCTTAGCACTTTGGGCGTTCACGCTTTAAGGATACCTGAGCTTGTCCCCTGCGGAGGGAAGAGGCAATATAAGTAGATAAAGTGCTGGATGCACTCTTTTCTTTCCACTGACCAGAGAATATGAATTAATTGATTACACTGCTCATAGGTTTTAAAAATACAGTAGAAAATATAGTTTTATTTGATATCATGTGACAGTTACATATGTGGATTGGTCTTTCCTATGCTGAGTTGTAAAGTGCAAGGAAAAATTGCAGCTGGAGTATTTAAACTAATGGTATTGTCCATGGCTAGCTATTCTTGGTATTGCCATATTAAGCATTTTAATCAAGAAAATGTTTATATGTTAATCTAAGATTATATGTTTATAGATTACAGCAGATTTTTTTTATTTATTTTTATGAAGGGTCAGTTTTCCTCCAGCCCTATTCAAGGAGGAGCACGGGCTTACAGCCTGGGAAGCATAACCAGCCCCACATTTCCAGAGGGCTCCCCTGCACATAATGGTTCTCCTACCTTCTCGCCAATTGCTTTCCATATAAGAAAGACACCCATGTCAGGTATGGCTTAAATGTTTGTGCATTTTTCTTTCTAGATTAGTCTGTGCTGACTTTGATAAAGTGTGGTTTAACTCATCACTGGTACCCTTTTTTACACTGTTCAGAGGCAAGGTAGGGGCTCTGGCAAACCAGCAGGCTTGTTCTGTATGCTGCACTTACTGGTTAGCAGCAAAATCATACTTATTTGAAACAATTAAGTGTACAAGCTTTTTGAAAAAGGAATTGAGGTCTCATAAGAATGAACAAAATATAAATGATTAATCCTGGTCTGGAGAGTTTTAAAGCGAGATGTCAAATCCTCACATGGGTCACAGTTCTGGTGTAGACTCATCTAAAGTAAAGTAAAGATTTTGTTCTGATGAACCCTGTGGTATTTCAATACAACTGCTCATAGAGACTGAGTGGGTGTTCTCCTATTTGCTCAGTTTTTTTGGAAACTTTATGGCTACTCAAAAATTAGTGAATATGTATGGCATATATATGCTCATGCTGAAAAGCACCACAGAACCAGCCTGCATCTGTTTGGTGGTTCTGCAAGAACAGAGGGATACTGCTATTTGAAAATGCCTTTGACACAGCAAATGAAGTCATAGGAAACAAATCTGGTAGCAAAAGTAAGATTAGAACTTGCCTTTGATAGGCTAAATGTGGTGTGTTTTTTAAGACATCTTTGGAGCTGGGAGGCAATGCAATACTGTGTACTGGCTTTGATTATTCTAAAGACCTGTAGCTGCTGGAGCACTTCAGAATTCTGAAAGCCCTATATCTAATATCTAATTGAATACATCTCTTTTTGTTTTTTTTCCTATGAGCAGACCAAAGAAAATTTACGTTCTGTTCTCCAGACATTCCCTCTGCTTCAAAGAGAATGACACCCCCAAGTACCAGAAGTCCTTACATCGATGGCTGTTCTCCGATTAAGAATTGTTCTCCCATGAGGCTTGGAGCGTGCCGAGGACCTGGCCAGTATCAGGCCTCTCTCATCAGAATCCCGTTCACCGTAGAAAGCCACGGCGAGGAGGAGGCCGACAAGGAAAACCTGTATCCAGGAGAATCCCGCTTCCCGGAAACGGCTGACGGCACGAGCCTGCGCTGCCCCGATGGCGACGCCTTC